AAAAGTCAGGAGAGAATGCCTCTAGAACATGGCCATATAGCCCGAAAAAAACCTACAACAACCCTAAAATTGTTCTTCTTCCGGGGTCCCTTTCAAATCTATGATACTATATCTGTGTGTGTGTGAATCATATCTATCTATATCTATGGCTGGATGGTTCTTTGTCAGGAGGGCTTTGATTACGTTTTCTTGCCCTAGTGAAGGGAGTTGCGCTGGATGGCCTTAAGTATTTTCTGTTGGTCAAGGGGGTTCTGTTTGGGAAGTTTGCCCCAATTCTGTCGTTAAAACAACAACAACAACAACAACAACAACAACAGTTCCATCTATTCTTTTAGCTGCCCTGAATCCGTACGGGGAGATTGGGTGGAATAGAAATAAAGTTTTGTTGTTGTTGTTGTTGTTGTTGTTGTTGTTGTTGTTGTTGCTGTTGTTCTCCTACTGCCTCCCAATTAACTAAGCCTTATCCACTTTCCCCCCAGTTAGTCATATTAAGTCATGATATGGCCATAGTATAATAGCCTGGATCTTGTCATCTTGGCTTGTGGGGAGAGAAACATTTCAACATGAGTCATTTGTGTATGGACGACACCAAGAGGTACCAACTCAAAGGGACTGCCACCTGATCTATTTTTGTTACCTTCTACCCATCCCATGAACATAGCCTTGCTTTGGTTTCTTCCTTCTCCAGAGAGCTGCACCGCGGATGCCGCTTGCGTGGACGAAGATGGCGGAAGAAGCCGGGCATCCTCCGAAAAGAACCTGACCGTGATGGACAGTTCGGCCGGAGACCTGCTCCTCAAGCTGATGCACATGGCCAACGCCAACAAGCCACAGGGCAAGCAGTCGTTCTAACGAGGACAGGAATACGGGGCCATTTGGAAGGCCAGCTATAGCCCTTCCGTGTTGCCCTCTGGAAAAGAAACAGAAAGAAAGCAACCGTTTGTGACTAAAATGTAAATACACAGCAAATAATAAAAAGTCTTTTACGGCATCATAGAGTGAGGTCTGTTCTTGAGCAAAAGCTTGACCTTGGGAGCAATTACGTTGTAGAATGGATGCAGTGTGATCCCATTTTAGCTGCCTTGG